GTGTGGAGGGTTAATGACCTTTAAATTATATTAATTCAAGATAATTGTCCTTAGTTTCAGATTACATTTCCTATTTTCATTTCATGTTATAATAGTAGCAGCCTTGAATCACAGTTTATACATTTATCCTGGAACTTGCAGAAGGGATTAACATGAAACTTTTTTTAACAATTTCATCACATCATCCATCAAACAGGTAATGAGAACAGATGATGTTATTGGCTGACGGTAGTGGTCTTGATATAACACTAACTTCTCTGAACTAATTTGCAAGGGAATATGTAGGAGCTACAAAAGAGAATAACTATTCAAATATTGGGAGCTAAATGATCATGATGTGCTTACCCCATATCATCACCAAGAATGCCTCCCATGCCTTTCTGGTAAAGATTCCAGAACCAGAGGACACCATCCAGTTGATATGGATACAAAGATTGGTAAATCTCAGCTGGTAAAGAAAAGCCATCACCTACTTCACACATTCCATCATCCTCTTCATCTTCTTCATCTTCTTCCTGTTTATACCTTTCTATAGCTTCCTAAGTCACAAATGTTCAGAAGTTTTTTTCAACAAACAGACATTTTGAAAAAACAAACAGCTACTGTAAAAGAACTGGTTCAATGTCAGTATGCACCTACCCCTCCCCTGACCCAACAATAGTTAACTGATGACAGGTTAGGATCTATGTTGGGTTAGGGGAGGGGTAGGTGTTCAGTTGCTCAGATAATGACATTGATCTGAAGACTACAACAACTTCTGGTACACTGTGACATCTACCAATCAACTCTAAACAAGACAGTGCAGACAAAAGATCTGTGGTAAACTCTGTACCCGCAAAAAAAAAGAACTCTCAAACAAGAAACCTTTTTTGAAAGGCCTCATATCATATGAAACTTAACCTTGATTTTTTCAATCCTTCTGAGAAGTTTTTCAGATTCAAATATTGCACAAGCTTTCTCAAACAACTGAAGAGCTCGTTCAAGGTGTCCCTGTCTTCCTAACTCTTTGCCTTTTTGGATAAAACGGTTGTACCGTAACTTGTCCTCCTCATTATCATCTGAGTGATCTGAAAAACAGAAGATGTTTATAAATATGAAATGGTGGATTTGGGTAAGAACACGGTTTTGTTATGTCACTTTGTGCACGTGCTAAAAAGTGTTTACTTTTTAAAATGAGGCTTTGAAAACGGGGTTTCTTTCATGGAGGTTCTGCTGAAATCTAGGCTGGTGACGGCTCTACTTAACCTCTAATTTCGTTCGAAGATTTTTTGTCATCTAAAATATCTAATTTTTGGAAAGATCCTCACCATTAGCTCGTTATGCCCCCACCCCCCTGAGGGATATTGAATACAAGCAATTCATAAGCTTAGATCGCCTGAAAAATTAGCCATCGTTATTATTTCAAATAATTATTAGCAAAATGCAAGCGTATAATTCAAAGCTATCTGAATGAAAACGAATAACCTGAGATAGAAGGTCTGTACTGTTTCTCCTCCTCTGCTTCATGTGTTGTCTCCTGGTGGATGCTAAGACCTTTTAGCAGCTCTTTGGTAGCATTTAGCTCTTCATTGTAGTTAGCTTCCATCTCTGAGATCATTTAAAACATTATAAGGTGAATAAACAGAAAAGGTTCGAGAATCTAGGAACGCTCCTGTTTGAAGATGGCGCCAATGTATTTCCTCGCACGTGACTTGTTGCAGGCCGGGAGGACTGAGGATGAACTTTTGTTTTGTTTTTTACCACTCTTAAATAGAAGAAACCCATACATTTAAATGATCGTCATTGCCAAAGAAGAATATTATGAGGTTTTGTGGCGTTATTTTTGATCGTTTGTGATCACTGCACGTAAGTCAGAAGCCATAATCACGACCTTGCCTTGTTAATCTAAATGTACGTAGGTAACCCACGTAACCCACATCCAAATTACTTATATAACTAACTCAAAAACAGATTCTTAATGTTTCACCGAAGGATGAGGTTTCCATCAATTGTTTTTCAGTGGAGCATGGATGACATCAAAACCCTCGAGATTAGTTATATAATTTATCTCGAAGGTTCTTTATTAATCGCGAAAAGATGAGATTTTCTTCAATTGTGTTGATGTTATCAGGTGTGTTCGCCATCAAAAGCTAACGGCGAAAACTTGGCTGAATTAGAAGGAACCTCTTCACTTCAAGGTGAGCTGAAATAGTCCAGTTTCCTCTCGATCGATCGGGAATTTGCAAATTTTTCAGATTTTCGCAGCTTGTCATTTCTGACCTAGTCAAACGTTATTTATTAGATGTTCCCTCATTCGTTCAGTAGCATTATATATGTCAGGTAGTTTTACTTGCTATTTGATATGAATGTTCAATTCGCCCTCAGGTTTCTTAGTTTCCCTTCCAGTGCAATGACTTTCAATGTGATCCATTTTTTAATCGATCAGAACCTACGTCGTCCAAAATTTACACGATCTAGTTGTTATTTGCTCATTATGTATTTTTTTTAAGTTATTTCTTTGAAGCGGCACCTGAAGTTTCCTCAATGGACGATCTCACGCAAGAACAGCAAGAGATTTTAGACAAAGTTAGTTGATATATATATACTTAACAATTTATAGCTGTATTCAACAGTCCAGATATAAATGATCAGCGCATTTAGAATATTTATTTACAGTATAGAGGTCTGAGAAGTCGGAGCATTCCGTATCATATTAATTTATGGCCTAAATATCCTGTAAACCGTTAACTCCGTGGTTTGTACTCCCATAATTCCAGTGCGATACTCTGTAATCTCTATTCCGAATATCCCATAATCTGTTTATTTTTTTCTTCAAGTATCCTGTATGCTGTTAATTTTTCACCCAAATATCCTTTATACCCATAACCCCTAGTGGGGCCTCAATATAGATATGTAAGTTGAAGAAATGATAAAAAGAATGATATTGTAAACCTGAAAGTAATGCTTCATAACAGAATAAAACAATAAAATACTGACTGCAGAAAATTTAACAAATAGATTCCCCATTGCCCCAGCAGTAGTAATAGATCACTGATGATGTCAAAATGTGGTAAGAACAAAAATTTGCATCTGAAGTGCAGCTGAGTGTGTCCTGATGTTCCCACCATGTTTTGAGATCATTTGGGATCTATCACTGTTCAGACCCACAGCATGGAATCTATTTGTTTTATGTGATAAAAAAATGCTTTTGTACTAACATCATCTGTGTCTGTTCTCCAAAAGATCATGGCAAAGAATTGATGCTTGTATAATTCAGCTCATCAAATAAAAAAAATTTTGTTATTAGGACAGGACTAAAAAGAGAACACACAAAATGAAACAGCAATCTTTTCTACTCATTTACAGAGTGTTATTCATGATACAGTTTCAAGTTGTTGTTGCATAAGTTAGCTTTCATTGGCTTTTGATCGGACACCATCTGCTTGAAAGAACATGAGTTGATTTAAAATGGACTCAGTTTTGGAAATGGCAAACAGTTGGATCACAGGAACCTACTGTAAGGACTAAGAGAAGTTTCAAATGCGACCACGAACTGCCATTTAAATCATTAGGATTTGTTAATATTTAATTTTAAGTCAATATTATCTTACCAGATAAATTTGTACCTGTCAGAGAAACACTATAGGAAATAATGTTATCTTTTCCTAGACACATGTTTTATATTACCTTCTGCAATTGATATAGTGAATCACTTTCTAATCATTTCCATTTTTTAACTATTTTCCAGTTTCGTGTTTGTGTCAGCGATATTTGTCAGCCAAATCATGATGATCACTTTTTGTTAAGATGGCTTCGAGGTAGGTGTAGAATTCTTAAAAAGCTAAAGCTACATCTACCAAGAGGATGCAATCATTAAAATAAATTAAACAAAAAATAATTTAACAAAAATAACAGAGCCAAAAAAAGCCCCCCCCCCCCCACTCAAAAATTTGCTGCGCAGTTCCTGGAGATGATCATTACAATTCCATTATGTTGAGATTGTGATAGTTCTTCTCATAGAAATAATGATAATGGTGATGATGATTTATCAAACTTAATGTGATAATTGTTCAGGAAGCATGCTTCACAAGTTGTCGTCAGACACAACTATTTTGTAAAAGTTAAAAGGATCAAGTTAAAATCTGTAGAATGTAAAGGAAAGTTTTGGTAACTTTTCCACAAAAGTCAAAATACAGTATCATTGCATACTATGACATCAAACAATGCAAGCTCAGAAAAAGGATTAATTTTCGAAAGTATCATTTGTTTGATTTAAACTAGTATTGCAGTTTTGAAGTAAGACTTAATATACTTGTTTGTCATTTTTTACTGACAGCAAGAGATTTCAGTGTAGAAAAAGCAGAATTCATGCTGAGAGAGGTGATGAATACATTTTGTTGTAATTTGCTCTGGATAGAATATTTGTCAAAGAAAGTCATATAACATATGTAATGAGTAAGGAACAAAGGAAACTTGTCAGATGTTCTGCCAACTTTCTAAGCCTTTGACGCCTCAGTGTGTTTGGCACCTACTTTTAACTTCTCTCTCTACAAGGTCACCCTGAATCACACATTAAGGTCACAGGAGTAAAGGAAATAATTGCCAACTAAAGGAGCTTTTGATTGTAAAACAAATTCTCCTTGTTAGCACTTAAGGAAATTTATGGAACAAAGTATAGAGATTATGCATACTGATGTTTGTGTGTGAAGGATTAAGTCTGAAAAGAACTTATTGGCAATCTCAAGGCCATGAACAAGATTCTTATGTGACAATTGCCTTTCAACTTGCAATGGTCAGCCCTATATTGAAAGTGATTTGTTTACAGTTATCTTAAGAAAGGTTGATGTTTTTTTAAGTGAAATAAATTGTTTTGCTTATAGATATCTGCACTTACATGTATCTTAATTCTGAAAATTGAAAGTTCTCAAATTACTTCATTATTTTTAGTGAGGACATTTAACTGTTCAGTGAAAGTGATAAAAACTTATAATTTAGTTAGGTTAGTAAATTGACAGGTGCCCTTTTTTCATCAGAGCATGAATGTACGCAGGCAGATGAAGCTTGACACTTTGGTGGAAACCTACAAAGTTCCAGAAGTCAGTTAAATTCAATTTAAGTAGTAAATCATTCAGCAAAATTACACTTACTGTCTTTAACAATTGTTATGATAACATTGGTGAGGAGACACATTGGCCAAATGGTCAGTGCACTAGACTCTTGGTTTAGAGGTCTGGGTTCCAGACCTGGCAGGGTCAATGTGTGTGTTCATGGGCAAGACACTAGACTCTCATGGTGCTTCCCTCCACCCACAGGTATTAACCCTTTAACTTCCAAGATCTCACTAGTAATTCTCCTTACTGTCTGCCATACAATTCATATGATGTTAGTTTGGAGAATTTGGAATTGGATCAACTAATAATCCCTTAATTGATATTTTCTTTACTCTCATTACTTGTTTGCTTGATATTGTACTGATAGCGTAAGGAGAAATTCTCTTTAGGTCACTTGTGGGACTTAAAAGTGTCCTGGCAAATTATCAGGGAAGCCTGGTGAAATGTTGGGGGGGTAGCCTTGTGATGAACTGGCATCCCATCAAGGGGGAAGTAGTAATACTCCTAGCTGCTTCATGTCAAGGAAACCAACATAATCTGCAGCTGGGTGGGACATTTGGCTAACATTATTAAATGACTTCAATTTTCCAAGATAGAAATCATTATTCTTGACAGGTATTGTCAAAATATTATCCAGGAGGGCACTTTGGTTTTGATAGAGAGGGCACTCCAGTTTTCATTGATCCAATTGGACAAATTGACTTTAGAGGTATATTTTTCTCTTATTAAATTTTATGACTGTATTCAGTAATCTGTATCAGGGTTGAACAAAGAACAAAAATTAACAAGATATTTGGGTACACTGTATTTTTTCACACTCACACAATACCAGTTTGGATAAACAGTATTTCTTTTGCTATCAAACTCAACTTTCAGCCTAACATTATAGATATCTAATTATCTAATTAATATGTTATTTCAGGGTTGCTGGCTTCTGTAAAGAAAAATGAAATTATCAGATTCAAAGCTTACTTAGCTGAATACACACTGTTCCTATCCAGGCAACAATCTTCCAAGGTATGAATAGTTTTCTCTTTCTTTTTTCCCAATAAAAATTCAAGCAAACTGATCATACTCATTAAAAATCCCTAACTAAACCCAAAAATGGTTCATTATGTCATCAAAACCTAATACAGTGAGTCAGAGTAGTTTGAATTTAAAAGTCTATCCTCTAGTATTTATCAGGTTAAGACTTTTCTGGTGATCAGCCTGTGTGAAATGAGATGGTTGGTAATTAGTGGAAATGTTTTGCTGGTGACTGTTTAAGAGCCCTGATTTTACTCTGTGTCTGTCTCTTAGCTTGGTAAACACATTGATCAGGTTGTGATGGTGATGGACATGGAGGGACTTGGACTGAAACATCTTTGGAGGCCAGGTTCGTGAGCAAAATTCAGGCAGTAAATGTAAAAAAAAACAAGTGGGAGATGTGATAGCCAAAAAGCCCAACAGTTTCTCCATAGGCCTAATACTTGCTGCAAAAAATCTTGGTTTTTTTTTTTCTTTTTTGGCTGTGTTCTATTTTCAAGATTGTTATTTATAGTATTGATAGTCAAACATGAAAAGATATCATTGATGAAACTACTCTGTAGTCCAGTAGTGAAAAAATATTCAAGACATTCAGCCCTCATTCATATCACAAATCAGCTGAGGTCATGTGAGGTGCTTCCTTTTTAAACATTCCATCTAGAGAACTTCCTCATCTCTCTGAAGTTGTTATTTTCTCCTGATTCTATTTTTGCATTTTATAAGTTCCTAATTTTTTACCTTATTTCAGGTGTGACGCTTTTCAATAAAGTAAGTATGATTTTTGCATTTTCTTACATTTTCTTAGTTCTTGATATTTTACCTTATTTCAGGTGTCATGCTTTTCAGCAGAGCTTGATTATTGCACTGTTTCTCCTGAAAAGTGTGTTACAAATGCTAAAATGGTGTATTTAACTTTAGAGCTTTATATTCAGAGATTGTGTTAGTGCTGCAGTGTAAACTGTACAATTTTATATTTTCCTATATTTTTAAGCTGTGGAACACCAACAAGAATGGAAAATTTATTCTAAAATATCTCCCAAATGTAAATAAATGTCTTTAGTAACCCTGAAGTACGACTTTCTTTCACAGATTACAGCATTTTATGAAGATAACTACCCAGAAATGATGAAGAATATTCTTGTCATTAATGGTAAGTTTCTTCACCTCTCTTGTTGTGAATTTTATGTAAAACAGAGATTCTTTATAGTTCTGCTCTTCAACTATTCAATCAGCCTTTACACTTGCCAATTTCTTGTTGAAAACTTCATTCAAGAGGTCAAACCTGAGATTTAGTTCTCTGGTGAAACTTCGTAAGATTGCTTATTCAAATTAGAAAAACCACTCCAGGTTTGTGCTACACTGTTAGTAATTAAGTAAATTTTCTAGCAGTTAAAAGAATTTGTTCGTTTTATTTCAGCACCTAGGATATTCCCAATAGCATATGCTTTAGTAAAACCATTTCTTAATGAAGTGACAAGAAACAAAGTAAAAATACTGGGAGGTATGAAGTTTCAACATTTGTTTGTTTAAAATATGGGGAAAGGCATAGCTATTTTGTATAAGCACAAGGGACATGTTTAGTAGCCAACATAGAGTTCTTTGGATAGTATGTCTTCCTCTCCAGTCAGGCTGTTAGAGGTTATTCTTAAGATATTTTTTAGGGATTACTACCAAATTGTGGCTCACCTTGTGGGACAGCTTGTTTTTGTTTATCAGCCTTCCTCTGTGTTCATCAGTCTGTCTGTCTGTCTACCTGCATCTATTATTTCTGGCTATTTCTCTGTTTGTCTGCAAGTGCCTTTCTGACCCTGGCAGACTCCAACCAACCATTTTCAGAACAGGTTCTAATAATAATTGTGATAAAATTTTTAGTAGATTGGAAAACTGAGCTTCTGGAGTATATTGATGAAGACAATCTGCCAGAATATTATGGAGGCACCTGCAAAGATCCTGATGGAGATCCATTGTGCAGATCAAAGGTAGATTCCAAAAGTTTCCAATCTTAAAACCTGCAAGGGTTCCCATCTACAGAGTCTAAATTATTCTTTTCACAAAAGTTGTTAGTTTGTACTTCAGGTTGTCATAGTTTATTTTAGCTCAGCCCCCCTTAAATATGAGAGTTGTATCATGCAGCTTACTGAGGTCACAGTTTCTACAAACCTATTTAGTTTTTCTTCTTTAAAATTTTAAAAGCTATTTTATAGAGATCAACTTTAGTGTTTCTGTTAACTAACTCTTAATTTGCTTGTTTCTAGATATGTTATGGTGGTGACGTACCAGAATCTTATTACTGTAAAGATTGTGACAAACCTGATACCTGGACAGATGAACAGATGTATGAAGTTGGATGTGTCAAGCGAGGAACTGCTCTGAAACTAAGCTTTGAAGTTGATGCACCAGGCAGTATTCTAAGGTATGCTTCTCATGGATACTTAAAATAATTTCTCACGGATACTTAAAATAATTTCTCACTTATATGATTGTTAATTGAATCTTTCTGCCAAGTTGAGTAAGGTAAATTCATCAACATCCTTCTCTTCCTGATACATTTGTTGTTCTTCTAATGTATGATATTTTCAAAAATACTCATTGATATGCATGGTGTACATTTGAAGGCATCATAGCA